TCCTTTAAACATCTGAAAACATTTGCTGAATATGCCTAATTTTTAGTTGCTAGCTAGGTGTTGCCTTTTTTTAGGAAAGGTGTACAAGTCCGGATCCTTTTTGATGAAGTAGGAACACAGGGTATTTCACCTAAAGATGTAGAACGTAGTAGAAGGGATCAAACAGAAGAAGAATGTGAGTGTGTGGGGGAGCGATAGGATACAAAATTTTTTCACTGGGACCCACCGTAACCGTGACGTCTACCAGAGAGTGAGCACTTCCTTCGTCGAGCTGGGTCTGCAGCAAGGACTCGGGAGAAGGTGCAAGACAAGGTAAATAGACTGCGAGTGGAGTACCGCAAAGTAAAAGACAAACTAAACAAGTCAGTGGAAGGGAGTATTTCAACACCAGAGTGGTTCGATTCCATTGATGCTGTGTTGGGGACACGGCCAGCCACCAAGCCATCTCTGTTTTTTTTTTTAGGTGAATGGTCTCATTGATGTGTCGGGGAGCGATAGGATACAAAAATTTTTCACTGGGACCCACCGTAACCGTGACGTCTACCAGAGAGTGAGCACTTTCCTCGTCGAGCTGGGTTTGCAGCAAGGACTCGGGAGAAGGTGCGAGACAAGGTAAATAGACTGCGAGTGGAGTACCGCAAAGTAAAAGACAAACTAAACAAGTCGAGGGAAGGGAGTATTTCAATACCAGAGTGGTACAATGCCATTGATGCTGTGTTGAGGACACGGCCAGCCACCCCGCATCTGTTTGGTTAAAAGCTCAGGAGCCATCATATCAAAACTTCATAGGAACCAACTTTGCATGTTTTGATAGCTTGGAGAGTTCATTTATTTATACTGGTAAGTTGAGTTTTCTTCCCAGCATAATTCCTTTGAATCATATGGTTCTAGCTATCTGGTTACTGAATAAACATATTGTATAGATGTTGTATTGTAAATTACAATTAATGTGTTTGTTTTAAAAGTTAGGTCTAAGTAGAAAGCTAGTCTGCGAAACTAGACCTAAAGACAAATTAAGTGACACTTTAAAAAGTTTTCTGAATCAAGCAAGTGCTCAACCAGTCGATAAACATTATGCAGTCACTTGATTTGAAAACGATAGTCTGTGTATTCGACCAAGCTCTGTTTCCCAAAGCTGCTGGAGTTGTTTGGAAGCACCCACGAAAAGGACATCATTCTTAGTTTGGGAGTCTACCACACCATATGCACACTGTTGTCAACCATTGGGAAGAGATTCCAAGATGCTGGACTGACGGACCTATGTGTAGAGTCAGGTGTCATTGCTAATGGCTCTGTTGCTGGAGTGATGGAAGGCCACAAGTAAAATCGTGCAGTCAGGCTACACAAGTTGTTGTATATCTGATTCTTGTTATCCTGAATAAATATATTTTCATAAAGTACAAGGCATTTATTAGAGTGTCATGGAAAGGCTTCCTACCTTGGGTTGAAACTAACCATACTGAGGACCAGGTTCACCTGGAAGAAAGCCTGAGAGATGTGAACAGCCTATGTGAAGATGTTTCTCAAGCTGCAATCTGTGAGAAGATTGAGAATCAGTCCTTTGAGCCCATCTTCAAGCTGTTTGATGTCTACCTTGATTACCTGAGACAGGAGAATGGGACCCTCTCGGCCTTCTCGATGTCGTATGTGGACATGGTCAAGGTTATGCTAGGTCTGGTTCAGGCATCTAGAGAGGGTGACTGGGTGCATGCACCTCCATTCCCTTCGTGCAATTATTCCCTGGTGCTTCGCCTACGACAAACTGAACTATGCTCGCTATTTCCCCTACTATTATGCACAAATATGATGTGTACAACTATTGTTTATATTCTGAGACAAAACAGTGTAAAATATTACGTCATCTCAGGAGAAAGCACTTTAATGAACTTGACGTGGCAGAAGCTATGCAGCTGGAAAGGACAAACCCGGCCAACAAAGGCTTCGGATAGTTTTGGAAGTACAAAAGCAGGTGGCAATTTTGCACATAACCAGATGGTTCATAAAGGTTCTACTGATGAGGCACAGAAAAAAGAAAAAAAAATGTTTTCCAATACTGAGGCCTTTTTGCTTTAAAAAAAAAAACTTTTAATGCTGGCCTTCTAGAACTTTGCCCGTCATTACCGAACTTTACTTTTTAAAATCTAACTGATGAATTTCTTGTTAGTGGTTTGTTCCGTGCAGATGGCATTCATTTGAATGGAGCTGGAAAATCTGTAGTGGCTTCCATTTTTCATTATTTTTTGTTGAATCCTTTTAATTGTCTTCAATCATCCAAAGAGAGTTGCAATACAAGAGTTTTTGGGAAACCTCCGGAACTGAAGAGGTTGTATGCCCCATCAAAGAAAAAAAAAGAAGGAATGATTAGTGGCAGTGGAGAGAAAAAAATTTGAATCTTATATTATATTTGCGTAGAGAAAAGCGGTCCACATATTTTAACTTTGATAGACCCAGGAGGAAAAAGAAATGTAAGAGACCAGAAGAAGACGAGGAGGATTTCCTGCGTCCCAGGTACACGAAACGATCTCCATCACCAACCAAGCTGCCACCACATCAACATATCCCGGAAGAAATAACAACATTCAATCCATATAGAGCCCTTACTTGTAATTATGCATTTCAACAACACTGAATCTTCATCATCATGTTATCTACCATCACCTGTCAAACCATATATTACGTGGAAACGGTGCATAAAGCGTGCTAGGAGTAGGAGGAAAGCCTAATTAAAGAAATGTAGGAGAAAGGTATGTTTACATGTGATCAACAATACAAGAGTTTTTTGGACACCTCCGGAACTGAAGAGGTTGTAAGCCCCACCAAAGAAAAAAAAGAACAATATATAATCTTATATTGTATTTGCGTAGAGAAAAGCAGTCCACATATTACAACTTCGATAGACCCAGGAGGAAAAAGAAATGTAAGAGACCAGAAAAAGACGAGGCAGCTCCATGGTGCATCTGCACCAAATGTCGACTGATGCCGACAGAAGTAGAAAATGTTTGTTGCAGGTTACGTCTTTGTGTGACGTCTACTCGAAACTTTTCAGACGGCGTAACCAATGGTACACTGCTTATTGCTGCCATGCAGGCAAAGCAGGGACAACTTCCCTTGCAATATTCCGAAGAACAATGACTCCTATCGCCACTATGCTTACAAACAATTCATTTCTATTTCTTTTACACAAAAACATATTTCCCAAAATAAAAGGTATCAGGTATCATATCATTGAGGTTGTAATTTTGAGAGCATGTGGCAAATGGTTTTGTTCTTTTAATGTGTTTTATGTGCAATTTGTGCACAATATGTAAAGTTGACTTTATGTTTATAATTGTTTATAAAAAGTCGTTGAGATATTTATGTAAGAAGAGTGACAACAAAATAATTAGACATTGTGCTAAATGAATATTCAGAAATTCATAATCATCTTGATTGTTTATAATTAAGATTTGTAACCTAGGAAACTTTGAATGAACCTTACTGCATGACAGTCTAAGCCCTAAGGATAGCCAGAAATAAAAAGAATTATATATTTGTTTAAAGAGTTTTTTTTTTTACCAAGTCTTTCCAAAAGATACATGGGGATGAGGCACAGCTTTCACAGTTTTCTGTATGCAGAGTCATCAAAGATGTGTAAGAAGCGTTTGCAAGAAGAAGGGAAGAATTACCCCGTAATTCATGGGGTTCCCAACATCAAGAGCAGCAGTTCTACCAGTACAGCAGGTTGCCAGGTGTTCTAGGTGCAATTGATGGGACTCATATCTACATTTAAAACAAATGATTTTCTAATCATAGCTGATGTAATGCCAAATGTTTTTAATGATATTTACTGTCGGGCTGAGTTGAGTGTGTAGTGACCAAATGTTACGATTTTTAACTGTCGCTGAAAGTGTACCTTACTTTTGCATGTGTAATAATGTTTTATAAGTGTTATGCATTGATGTGTACATGTTTGATATGTATTGCTTTCCAATTTTCAAAATGGCGACTAGGGAGACCGAAATAGTGTTGAATTCACAAGATCTTTAAATAGATCTTTAATCTGATCCCCACTCAATTTATGTTACTTGTGCTGTCAACTACTGATATTACTTAGTCCATCTTTTTATATTTGTCATATGCATTCATACCCAATTTAATGTATGTGTTTTTATTTATTGATGAATAAATGAATTGAATTGAATTGAAGACAAAGAGGTGCCATCTACATTTACCCGTGGGGGGAAGACTGCTTCTGTTATGGCAAAAAACTGTGTTGGGAAGCTTCATTTTCACATAAATTCATTTGTGGTTCCGATATCTGACATTAGAAATTGACAAATGTGCTTATTGTGACATTTACCCAATCAAACGACAATTGAATTGTGATATTTTGTGATTGAAAAGTGGCTTCAAGAATTTCTGTTTCAACATACAACAAAGTGCTTAGTCCCACATGTGAGTGTTATTAACTACATTTAGTCTACTTCATTACGACAACGGTATCTCTGGGGGAACTCAGCCAGGTGGGATATTCTTATTACAACTTTTCGAATCTGCTATAAGTAGATTGTTGTACATATAATGGCCCCCTTGAAAATGAACACATATCAGGGGATTCCCGGGGGGAGCAACCAACGACTTCTCATCGTCCAAGCACTGAAGAACTGAAGGATTACATGGATAAACATCGAGCAAACCAGGCATCGTTAACTTCTAGTAACTTCTGCACCCAGGTCCCCCACCCAGGGGGAGAGACCAGATCCTAGGGGACCTACAGCCCAAAACCACGCGAGAGGTACCTTGACATGGTCAGACGACAGTGACGACTTCCAATGACATTTACAAGTTGTTCGTTGAGATCTCACTTATAATCCAATGGCTCTTTTTAGAGCCCCAAATTTTAAAGAAAGAACTGAAATATTTAACTCTCTTATGAAAAAAATATATAAGACCCTCTCTTCTGCAATCTTCTTATAATGACACTCTCTTCATTGAACTAATGACTTTTTTTATTTTCCCCCTCTATGCTTAACTTTTATCAATCCCAAAATAAAATGTCTGACTCTTCTGTGATCTTCTTCCTTATATTCTTGTACACTTACAATTTTATTAACTTTCACCCATCACAAGTTCACAACAAACTGTTAGGTGTTCACGCTAATATACATTTTTAGCAGTAAGAAAAAAAAATCTTATATTTTTTTCACTCTGGAATTTACTTATTTTCTTTATCGAAAACGATAATATGTAGTGCTTTTTGAGCTTGTTTTGAGGCAATATTTGCCTTAGGCAATTCTTTTGAATGATAAATAGATCAAGAACAATAATAGAGATTTTTACTTTTTTTTTGTAGCGTCCGTAATAATTTACAATGATCCATTCACAACTAAAAATTTTGCGCACATATTATGTCACATTCCACAAATTTAATGTGTGCATAGCTTTATTAAGACCTGTGTAGGTTAACAAGATCAGGGTCTACTCGTAATGTAGTCTTGTTATGAACATTTTCAATGCTTTGGAGAGCCTAAATGTTCGTTAAATTAGGGTCCAAGATCTAAATCTAACTTAGATCTAGACTTACTGAACTACTAGCTCAGAGCAAGTGATTCTATTTCTGAAAAGTTGAAAATGCAGGTAGACTTTCAACCGTATCAAGGCTATTGAAGAAGTTTCGCTGAAACTAGGTCTAGGTCTAATGTTAGACCAATGTACTAGGGTTGCTGTGCTGGTCTTGGAGTAGTAGTAGTAGTATTTCTTTCCGTACAAAACACATAATAAAAATGAGATACGGTGGATTGCCCACATTCAGCTTACCTGACATGGGAAAGCTAGTCTTCCGTGGGGTCCGGATCAAGTACATAAACAACACAAAATATAAACATATATCTAAATAACAGTAAATAAATTGTCAAAGAAAAACAGGTGTCTTAAAGTTATGCACCCACATATTTACACTGTATGCAGCTCATTCTTCGATGCCATAGTTTGTAGGAAGCCAAAAGACAACAGAGTTCATTTGCATACTGTTAATACATTTATAGTTATTTGACAACATGAACCTTTGACATAGTTGGCAATGTACTATTTTTTTTTTTTCCTATCAATGTTCTGTTATACATTATGTCATTTTCAAAATAATATTTATAATGTTCTCTCAGTAACTGTGTTAACTTATTATGGGCATTCCCAACTCAAGCTATGCTTTTCAGGTTTTAACTTCCTTTTGTTATCTGAATTATTTACTGTATACTCTTATCTTGAAATCATTGTTACATATATAAATTATATATACATTGTGTTTCATATTGTACTGTTGAGAGGGAAATAAATGTTAATAAATACAATGTAATGGACAAATAGCCATGACTTGCCCAGAAATGAAATAAACCTGAGAGATCAGACTTGACTTGAAAGCACAAGGTTGGATGTGACTGACAGGGTCTCCTCTGTTGTCGCATCTCAGTCGGTGCCCAGCTTCTCCTTCACTTTATCATCGATGTTGGCATAGTACTTCAACCTCATCAACGTCTCTCGGGCTCCAGAATAGTCAGCTACAAAACAAGAGAGAAAAATAGAAAAGGATCGATAAATAATAATAATAATATTCAGTGTTTATATAACGCGAAATACATCTGGGGCGTCTCTAAGCGCTTTCCAGATATACTATTACCCCGGTCATTGGATTCAGTGCTTGCTTGCACACACTGTGTGCAAAATCTTCACTCCCTGGGATGCATTCCAGGATAAAATTGGACTAGTACTTAGTAGTACTTCTGGGCTCCGTTTTATACAGAGTTGATGTTAATCGCAACATATTTGCAATGACATCGATTGCAACTATGATAATAATAATAATAATAGCTCGTTCTTATATAGCGCTTTTCAGGACCGGAGGCCCTCACAAAGCGCTTTACAGATAAGTATATTATTACCCCGGTCATTGGATTCAGGCTTACCCGCACACAATGTATGCACATTCTCCACTCCCTGGGGAGCATGTACATGAGGAGATTGTGAACTGCAAACTTGCGATTGATTTGGATCACTCGCAACTCTTTACAAGATGGGGCCCTGAAGTGCAAAATATTGCACATTAGGTCAGCTCCAGAATGTTACGTTAGATCACAATGGGGTGTACATGTATGGGGACATTGAATAACAGAAGCCCCAAAGGTCTCATTCATGTAGAAATACTATAAGCAGGTGTGACCGCAGGTTTTCCAGACACCCCTTAAATGAGGATTTCGCGTGGTTTTTCCCAAATTAAAGGTACTATGTCCCTTTTGCAGCCAACCTCAAATGCTGTAGAACTTTGCAGGAATTATGAATATGTCATGTATGTCCTATCTGTGAAATTTCAACATTAGCAGTGTCCTCATATTCAAATTATGGAAGGAAACCCATTTACTTGCTAGACTTCACTGTCAGACACTATTGAGTGACTGACTGGCTTTTTTTCTTCTTTGGTAATAACATACATGAGAAGAGTTGTAAAGGGTACATGAGCATTTGTCTACATCAATAACCCACTTCTTGTGATGGCCAAGATTAAACTGATTGAATCTTTGTGCAGCATAAAACGTATGACCATTCGGTACAATTGTCTGAAAATCAAGACTATCACTTTTGGGCTCTATAGCCCTAAAGTCGATTTGACAACTAATAGTTGTTATTTTCACACTTGAAGACATTTTCAAGCCCCACCTTTTTTAGGGAAGTTCTAAATTAGTATTATCTTTCAAATGCAGTTGGAATTTAACTTTTTCATTTTTTTTGGCCTGCAAATGGGACATAGTACCTTTAACACCCTAAATGGTGATTTCACAAAAGTGTACTCTTCAACAAGTATTGAAAAATTGTAACCCCTTGAGCATTTTGAAGTGCTATAGGGATTACCATTTTAAGTTGTTGACAATGTAAAATAAATCAAATTGCGCTTCTGATGTAAAATTCACAATGTTAAAATTATTTCAATAGAGAAGCAATAACATCAACTTGTATAGGGGCTTCTTCATGTCTGTGCTGTTCTAGGAGAAAATTCATTATTTCATTTCAAAAGCATTCTTCCAAATTACATTCCTCTTCACCACCATTCTTCATGATAGTATGACTTCAACTTTATCAGCGTCTCTTGTGCCATGGGATTCCAAATCTCACCTTTATTGAAAGCAGCTTGCAGTTCATCAAGATGGGCATTTAAAATCACTGCAACAACAAAAAAGGAAGAAGGTAAATCAACTCTAACATTAGAAGTCATAACATTTCTGTAAAAACTTCTTTTCCTTTTTCATTTAAGGGGGGGGGGGGGGAGGTGGGGGCTGGGGTGGGGGAGAGAAATACAGGGTAAGTCTAGGTATTAATTCCTGTGATGAGATATTTGTTCTGTTTAGAAACATAAAAGAATTAAAATACATTCATTTAAGATGGCTTTAAGATTGTTTTAACAAACACAAGAAAAAATAAAGCATGCATAGCTTGCTCAAATACACACATAGATATTGAATACGATGTTTATACTGCTATATGCCTGCAACAGAAGTACTTACAACAAATACAAGATTTTCAACACAAAAACATGAAAGCATGCAGTGGAAAAGGGAAAGAAACTTGTTTGATTATTCCACAACACATGCAACAAGATATTACAACATTCATGAATGCAATGGAGAAAAGGGGCAACTGACACATCAAATGAAAAAGTATTTAGAGTTTCTTTCATTCTAGGGATTAAACGAGCAAATTCAATGTGAATACTTTTGAAAATCGTATTACTGGGAGGACCCGGGTGTGAAATCCATTGGATTTGCTAGTGCCCTGTGGTAAGGCATTAATCATCATTACCAAGTCCTTAAAGCCCGTCTGCACTAGCTTGGCCAGGAGGGATTAGACCACCCTGCAAGGTAACTGACAGGTGCAAGTCAGCTCTCAATTAACATAAGAAAAAGAGGATCATGGGGACCAACGGGCACCGCTTAGGCACTGTTTGCTATATAGAGGGCGCAATTAGCTACAGTGGGGCTTTAAAGCCGTTGGTCCTCTGCTTGCATACGTACAAGCATACACATGCTTTATTCACAGTCAGGTGAAATAACAATCAAACATTTATGAACCGGTTAGTTTCCAGGAAGCACTTCTCTCTTTATCATCAAAACAATACCTGAATTGTCTTTTCCCATTCGCCTGATGGTGTCTAGATCATCAGTATCGGCTATCTGTTCATTGATTTCCATCACCTCCATGAGGAATACTGGGTCTATGTTGCTTTCCCCTTCCTCTATCGAGAACCCTCTGAGCTCAAGCTGTGAATGAAAAAACAAGGAAAAGTACAACGCTGAACTTAAAGAGAAGGTTGAGTTCTGGGAAGAGGTGAAAAATAATTTGTGAGCATTATCATTCTTATTATGCAAGTGTGGAAGAACATCAGATAAGACATGTTCCCTGAAAAGCATGGCTCTTCAAATGCCTTCATATTCTAAATATGTCATGTACATCGTAAAACTCGGGGGGTAGGTTTTTTACGCCACGTTTTCGTGTAGTCCCATATACATCTTACTGTGTACAGTGTTTGTAACTTTACCAAGACTTGGCTAATTTCTTATCATTTTGATGATTCCAGAACCTTGCAATACACACAAATTCTTATATGCTAGATGATCAACCTTTTCTGGTCGATTCCACACCGTTTCTTTCATAATGCAATTGCATGACCAGAACTCAACTTCATCTTCAAACACAAATCATGTACTGTAATTTAACTAGCGTCAGGAAATGGACTGAAGACGCCCTCAGAATTCAAAAGGCATAATTGTTGATGATGTCAATGCATATTAATCCTAACCAAGCGCTATTTGAAATTATCAGGAGCACCGATAAATTTGATATTCTAATTTCTCAAAATCCTTAGCATTTTAGAGCCCAATTTTTCAAAGTTGCTTACTCTAACACCAGGGGAGTGTTTCACAAAGATCCTAAGTAGAACTTAACTCTAAGTTGGACTTAAAATTTATGGACAGCCATTGGAGTCTTTAAATGAAATATATTCAAAAGCAGAAATTCAAGTATTTTAGACTTTTTATTAATTCCACATCCAGAACATGAAATCTCCTTGATGATAGAAAATATGAATGATTTCAATAAACAATGAATGCCTTTCAAAATAACTTTTACAAAATATTTTCAAAGATGCTAATGGCTTTCCATATTTTTTAAGTCCAACTTAGAGATAAGTTCAACTTAGAATCTTTGTGAAACACCCCCCAGGTTTCATAACGGTAATGCAAATTTTAAATTTCATAATCCAATCATGTTGAAATATTACCAAAACTTTGTATTACCTTTAAAACCCCACTGTACTACTTGTAGCTACTTGCTCCCCCGGTGGGGTCACTCCCCTGCAAAGAGTGACACGTATGACCGTTACCACCAATGCATATAACCCCCTTTTGCGGTCAATTTCAAGGACAAAATCGTACTTTGGAATACCCCTATTTATAAGATTGTAAGGACACTTTCGCAAATTTACCCCTATTTTACCATATTTCAAGGACAAGACTCGGCTGCGAGAATTTTTCTTCCCGGTTTTCTCTTTTCCCTTCCCGGTTTTCTCTTTTCCCTTTTCCTGACCCCTATTTATCAATTTCGGGGACACCTGTGCCCCCCTATTTTCTTTATTTCGAGAAATATTTTATCCCCGGACAGTGCTTGAAATTGACCCCTTTTTCCGCGGTCATGCGGTCCGGAAGTCACATTGAGTGACCCCACCGGGCTTGCTCCCTCTATATAGAAAACAATGCCTAATCGGTGCCTGTTGGTCCTCCATGATCCTCTTTTTTAATGTTAATGGAGAGCTGAGTTGATGAGATAGCCACCTGTCAGTGACCTCGCTGGGTGGTCTAATCCCTCCTGATTACACTAGTACAGGCGGCCTTCAATACACAAAAATTAAACACATAATTACCAAATAGAGTCCTCTTGACAGTGGTTTGAGAAGCACCTTGTATGCTCGATTCACAGCCGATGACTGTGCAGCAGAGTAGCTCTGTTCTATCTGGATGGATGGAAAGACAATAAATTAAAAATAATAATAGCTCACATTTATAATGCACCTAATACTTTGTTTCTAGGCGCAGCACATATTATTACCCCGGTCATCGGATTCAGGCTTACCCGCAACACAATGTATGCACATTCCACTCCCTGGGGAGCATTCCAGCCAGTCGCCATTTAACAAGCGCCACTTGCTAATCCAACCACATTAACTTTCGCATCCTACCGGGTACTAGTGTTGTAGCCGAACATGGCACTTCTGAACCGAACCGAACCGAACGCAAAGGCCTAGATCGGATGTTCGGCAGAAAAATGTAAACGCTAATAAACTTGTCATTTTGTACCTAATTTTCATGTCATGATTGCTCATTTTATATTTACCTTTTTCCCATTTTCCACCTTTGTGATTTATGCCTATCCAGTGGTGGGCGCGACTTCACTGGCTCCATTTAAATCCCAAATCCTGACCTCTGATACGTCGCGATTGCAAGCCATAAACAAGATTACATGTGCGTGATAGGCGCTGATCAAAACAAGTTCAGGTAAAACCCCTTTAACAAAACAAAAAAATATTTAAATTATAACAATATTGGACAAATTTTACAATACAAATAATGAAATAAATATATATTATAGTATGCTATTTATTTATTCAAGAAAAATAGGGATTTTATATTTTTCCTATTGAAAATAAACACTTATAAAAAACAGTAATCGACGAGCCTGAGACGCTATTCAAGATGGCCGCTTTCATGACGTTAACAATAGAAAACAACAGTCTCGGAAAACCTATCAAAAATATCATTTTTTGACAAATTAAAAACATGATCCTTTTAAAATTGAAAATAAAACACAAATAATTACGTTTAGAGCAGTTTTTTAATGTGAAATTCGTGCTGGTCGGAAGCAGAAGTCCTCCGTGCTGGTCGGGCCCGGCCGGCCCGTCCAGTGCCGACCGCCGTGGCTATAACGCTGCTTGGTATTATATTACCAAACCAAATTCGGGTGAAAAATTGCCAAACTCTGCCGAACCGAACCGAACACGAACATAGCTTCCGACTTACAGCACTACCGGGTACCCATTTACCACATGGGTAGAGAGTGGCAAATGTAGATCAATGTCTCGCCAAAGGATATTAGTGCCGCGGCGGGACTTGAACCGCAGACCTTGTGATCCACAGTCCGGTAACATATCCACTCGACCAATGACTTATGGCTGATGCATCATGTACATAATCGGTATTGGTGGTTGACCAATACGAGATTCTGATCCACTAATAAACATGAATAAATGTTAAGTATTTACTTATTGCTGTTGCTTAATAATGTAAAACACAACTGGAGTCTTGCCCAAGATTATTATCTAGTAGCCGGCGAAAAATACAGTCACTTGGTGCCAAGTTTCTGCATGCTGCTACCAAAAGATAGTTGCTCTTTAGTCATTGATAACTTCATACTCATGTTGATCAGATTTAGACCATAGGTTGAATATAAATATCAGTTATTGATGTGGGCCATTCCATGGTAACTCGCGTTACACCTAATGGGTACATTGACACGATAATGTGCCTATATCTTTAGAACTGCTAGGATCTACAAGATACTTTTTTCAAGCATGGACAGGGTAGATATAGAACAACTGAATGAAACTAAAAAGAAAATTGAAAAACAAACATTTTTAGATTCTTGGATTATTGAATTTCGGTAACTCGCGTTACAAAAAAAGGACATGGTCAATTCTATGAGACCCTCTTTTCTCCTCATAGACAATCTTGACAAAATCTTTCCTACTTTAATTTGATAGTAGGTTGTGACTTACTAGTATAAGATCACAATATTAAAGATAAGAAACAATGGACTAGTAAAATGCAGGAAGCAAATATGTCGGTAACTCGCGTTACATTTTGTCCGGAGGCCATTTTCACCCCTATGTAATAGATTAAATATCACAGGACCCCTTAGAATATGGAAATATATTCATCTTTTTCCATTTAGCGAAATTTTCAGGAAAAAATATTACAAGAATCCTGTGTAATCTGCAATAAATTTTTTTTTTTCCATCTACAGTCCCACATGTACGTTTTTGATGATGGTTTGAGATCTTAGGAAATCAACAAAAATGAAAAATAAATTGTATTGAATTTGAAAGGCCCTAATGTTTTATGAACATCCATGGCATAAGGTTAGTGATAAATCAAAGAATTAACATAAGAGGTACATTTCTTTTTTTGATGTCATGTCCTTCTTCTCATGGAATGGCCCATGTGAGCATAAGTAGTTCCTGCAGGATTTGATGAATAATAATAATAATAATAATAATAATAATAGCCTAATAGTCCACTCCAAATTTTATTAAACCGAAACGGAAATTCTTTTTGCCCAATTGATCATGAGCCCGGCAGCCACTGAGCAGCGCCAGATCGACGTTGCTCTATCCCTTATTGTTGAACGCCAAACAAGGTAGCAACAACTCCCATCTTTTAACGTCTTTTGATATGACGCGGCCGGGGTTCGAACCCACGACCTCCCGGTTGTGAGGCGGACGCTCTACTGACTGAGCCAACACTCCGTCATACATGAAGATCATGTATCTACTTATTCCCCAATTTTACCTCTGATTTATTGCTGAATTTGTCTGGATGCAGAAGCCTCTGAAGGTCCCTGAAGCTATTAGTCAGATCTTGCACATCCATATCAAACTTCTCCTCTCTAAATATAAATAACAAAAAAGAGACTTCGGTGCAATGATCAGCATTTTATTGTAGTATGATGAAATTATTATGTTGCTGGACTGTACATAATTGCATGAACATTGATCTCATCTTGGACTTTGTATTAAAAAGAAGAGAAGGGTGTACTCTTCTCACTATTGGTTATTGCACTGAAATCAAAATCCTTTCAGCATTACGATTAACATCTATTCAATAAAACTCAATAATTGATCGGTGCAAGGGCCATCACACTATGAACATGACAGGCAAAGAAAGCGGACAAAATATACAGTTCCTCAGGTAGACAAAGGTACATCCCTTCACTGATATTATGTAAAAAGGGGAATATGCATGCGACACCTGTTCTACACACTTTTACATAATAGCAGTAAAGGGACGTTTCTTTGTCTACCTGAGGAACTGTATATTTTGTCCGCTCTCTTTGTCTATGATGTTCATAGTGTCCGACCCCCGCCCTTAATGAATATTTGGTGAATATTAAGATTTCTACTTCGTCTTTAAAAAAATCCGTGCGAGACAGACAGCTTACAACAATTTGACATGTCATATCTTTTTAGAACGCCATCTCATGTCAACTTGAGGTTTGGACATGTGTAATTATGTACTACCACTCTCTTACTTCTTAGATTTTTAATTTTTCAAACAGTTCGAGTGAAATTGTTGAATCAACAATACAACATGGATGAATCGTCGGGACGAAGAATTACCATTTTTTCCATCGAAGACTTCTTCAAATTATAATTTCAAGTCAAGTGGTTGGAAAGATGCCCAAGGAGTCAGAAAAACAGTCAAAAAGTCAAAATTGTAATTACTACCTCTTTAGTCTTTACATCGCGAAAAAATGTGACCCAACCCGGCCCGCTGTTTGAATCATTTTCAGAAGCGGGCTCTGGACTGGCGCTCAGACGCCTTCGACTTCGCCAGACCTCCCTAATATTAATGGCAGACTTTGAGATTTAATTTAACCATTTCATAGAATAAATATAACGTACTTTCCCATAATCTGAAAACTGTTCAATCCATCCTCCAGCGGCTGGATCATATTGCACGATGCACAAAATAAAGCACCGACGCGGGGGCCTCCACTGGAGGTCGCAGACCGCGAGAGTTCAGCGCTACAGTTCCAACAGACTCCCGATGACGAGCAATACAAACGCCCCATGATCCTGCTGGACATCATGCCTCGTTGTAGTTTTTTAGTCTTTTGATAAATGCAGGCAGAATTTGACAAAACTGCTTTTATAGCCTGTCTTCTGGAAAATGAGCATACTGTGCTGGATATAATGCTACTTGAAGATAATCCTCTTTCATGACATAGAAAACCCTGTGCCCGAGGAAGAGCCAGACGACACGATTTTAACAAACACGCTGCCATGTTCTTATTCAGGTAAGCATGGTGTGTAAGGTACGTAAATGGTCAGACCTAATGAATATTCATTACCAAACAGCTCGGGCGGGAAGCAGGAATACACCAGTTTACAGTTGTGTGCGCCATTTTAAACAAAGCCAATGACCTAGAGGTCATGTTTTTATGCGTAAATTAAGATTGCGCCCATGCAAATTATGATGATATCACTGCCTGCGCGCTGCGTTGTGCGCGCATATCATCATTTGCATGGGCGCAATCTTAATTTACGCATAAATACCAGAGGTCAGAGGTCAGTGGCCCCGGAACAGGGCCAATTTGGCCCTGTTCCGGGGCCACTGACCCGAGGTCAACTGTCTGCGCATGCGCACTGATACAACTGTAAACTGGTGTATTGCTGACCTAGCTAGCGGAATAAAATCCAATCATACATACACACAGATGCAGATATATTGTATTCAAATGATTCAGTTTGTAATATTGCGCAATCCTGAAGTTGGAGTTCGAAAAATCACCACATATAATTATCACAAAACTCAGGGAGGTGTTTTGCAAAACTATACCTGGTTAGTGGTTATTATAGCACAAGCGACGATGTTTTGGGAATGTTCTCTCGGAATGAATTGCAGAGAAAGTAGATGTTCCAAGTGGGATGCAGGAGGTTAAGGTTGGAACGAAGATAGACGAAATTTGCTCCCATGTAGTGAAAGTTCAGAACTGTAAAGAAAACGTTCTAAAATAGACCTACGTGTTGACTCGATGAGAAAACTTTGAGAAGTGTACTTTTGAAAAGAGACGTGAGTTGTTTTGTTCCTCCCCGGTTCCTCCTTGAGTCTGATTATTGCTTGCGAAGCATGCAGGATGAAGACAAAGATCGAGTAGCCTATAATGAGGCAATTTTCGTAATGTAACAAAATTTAATGCATAAGTCTTTGTGAAGTGCCTCAATTGATACAAATTATTTCATTCACCTGGTAAGAATAAAAGTATTTCAATAGACATAATCCAAACTCCATAGTTGTTGCCAGGTTGGACAAACATTATGACTTGACCTACAAAGCAACACTTGATTATGCAGTTTGCATTCTGACTATTGAATTACTCTTAAGGACTTACTCTAGGCAGGCGCGTACGCAGAATTTTTTCAAGGGGGGGGGGGGGGGTTAACATTTTTAAATCAGCCATGGGAATAATTTTTTTTTTTTTTTTTTTATTTGTAGGGGGGTTTATACACATAAAAATACCAAAGGGGGGTGTTTAACCCCCCAAACACCCCCCCCCCCCCCCCCTGCGTACGCGCCTGACTCTAGGACTTACTATTATTATCAGGTGAATGAAATAATTTGTATTGAGGCACTTCACAAAGACTCGTGCATTAAATTTGGTTACATTACGAAAATGATCTATTCCGGGAGGTATAAGAGGGAGTCAGCGGGGATTAAGTGTACGTATACAGGGCCAATGTCGCCAGTATAGTTGACATTTAGTTGATAAATGGGATATGAGTGACAGTAACTGGTATATTAGAGGGCAATCATGCAGGCAATGTCTTCCCAAATCAGTTTTGCAAAATAACAAATGAAATGGAAAAAGAAGGATGAAATGAGGAAAATACTTCAATATTATCGGGGCTCCAGGCTCACTATATACACCCTGGATCCATTTTGCCACAACGTAACTACCATAATAATGCTAACAGGTTAAAACAATGGGGGGGGGGGGATGTGCCCGATATTGGGAGATACGGAGTGCGTTCACGGTACGTTTCTGCAGGGGTCCTCTACGTTTGTCTTTCTCTTGGGGTCTGCCTAGCTTCTTACTAATTTTTTTTTGTAAAGAGTGTAGAAAGTCATTAAGGCACCCTAAACAAAAACAGCATTGTCATGTCATAATTACAGCAGGCCATTTATTAAAACATCTATATGGTTAAATTTCTTATTTAAACTCCTAGATCTAGATACATTTAATAATGATAATTATAAGCCTATAGGACTCTTCTCATACCCATGTCAGCCCGCATAACCTTAATATTATTGTACACAAAAATCTTTCAAAACTGAGTAAAGAATTTCTTTAAGAAATGGAAACTGGAAGCAGAAGCAGGCGCGGATCCACGGGGGGGGGGGGGGGTCAACGGGCCCGCCCCTGGCAAAAAAAAAGAAGTAAAAACAAAGATGGTAACCACTTATTTACCTTTGTCTTCTTTTTTGTGCTCAAGGGGGGGGGGGGGTGTTGAGTAACAAATTAAATAAAACGATGTGATTTGTAGTGCTCACTACCCCCCCCCCCCCCGGCCCCCGATTGGTAATCCAGGGGTATCAGTTTCGGGGTAGGAGATGGAGGATGAAGAGGAGGAGAAGGAGAAGAAGAAGAATAACTAGAAGACGAAGAATAAATTAGAGACGGTTGAGATAATAGACCTGTCTACTAATAGGCCTATACATGTACGTATTTCATGGATGTTTCTCATCTCCTGAACCCCTGGGGGTGTTTCACAAAGATCCGAAGTTGAACTTATCTTTAAGTCGGACTTTAACATCATGGAAAGCCGTTAGCATCTTTGAAAATATTTTGTATTTAAAAGGCATAAAATGTTGATTCAATCAATCATATTTTCTCTTATCAAGGATATTTCATGTTCTTGATGTGGAGTTCATGAAAAGTCTAAAATACTTGGATTTTTGCTTTTGAATATATATTTTTTTAAGGCTAAAAATGAGTAACCATGATATTTAAGTTCAACTTAGATTTTAGTTTGACTGAGGATCTTTGTGAAACACCCCCTGGACCCATAGACCCGAATTCACAAAGGAGGTTTGTCGACAAACCTTTAATTTTTATTTGAGTCATCATTATGACGCACATAAACCTAGGTTTGTCGACAAACCTCCTTTGTAAATTCGGGCCATAATGTTCATAAAACCGTACAAAGTCAATTGTCACTAATTACGTAGGCCTATATTATTATATAGTTGACAACTAGCTAGGCTTATAGTGTTATTTTATTAATAATTTAAGTATGATGAGCCCGGTGACCGACCCAGGTGACCAATGATGTCATTCACCTGTTTTGCACAATGGCAGACTAGCTGCTGCGATGTCTGGCAAGCTTTTTTTAGTTGTCTTAAGATTTTTTTTTGTTCGAAAGGTATGTATGCAATTTTATTCACTTATTCACTTTTAAAACTAACTGTATAAGTCATGTACATTGCTCCTAAATTCTTTCTAAATGTGTATATGCTAATTAAGTATTATTAGCTTATGTATATCTTTTGTCATAATTCATCTTAATTGTTTGCCTATTGAATGGTAATCATGGAAGGTATATGACATACAGTTCTTTGAGATGTATCTCCATATAGCTCCGCAGGTGACTGACTTGTATGTTCCGCTTGGAGGGGGAGGGGGGGGGGGGTGCCCATATGTAGAGCGGTGTGGGCGGTGCCTGAAGATTTTATGCATTTTCTTGTCGTGATTTTTGCTCTTCACGTGCAACGTTAATGATTCGTGACGGATTGCCAGACAGGGGGATCATACCCCTCGAGGCCCCGACCAAGTAATAGGAAACTCATTTTGTTCTCAATGCAACGATATTCATGATAATGTTGCCATCAACACATGAGATACAGGCGCGTACGCAGGATTTGTTAAAGGAGGGGGGGGGGGTGGGTTAAAATTTGAAAATTACGCCGAAAATTTCGCAACGACTCAGCCGGCCGCTGAATAAGCGGGGGGGGGGGGGGTGGATAGTATATATATATTTGTTGGTCGACCGCCCCCACCACCCCATGGCTACGCGCCTGTGTTGTGATCGGGGGAGGGGGGAGGGGGGGGGGTACTTAGATCTTGTTTGGACGGGGGTGTGCCGCTCAAACCTCGAAACTTTACCCATTTTAAAGGGTCATTTTGGTTTTTTTTTTCTCGAAGTAAAGCCAATTAAAAAAAAAAAATGTTTAGAGATATTTTGTAAAAAAAAAGACCCATGTTTAGGGATATTTTTGTGAAAAAGTGACCCATTAGAGCGGCACACCCCGTATGTCTTAATATGTGAGTACCCCCCCCCCCGGGTGTGATGCCTTTTAGCATGACATGGGCGCAGCCATTTTCTTGAAAATGTGACGTACTAGGAAGTAGGCCTAAGTTGTACATGCATGTATCATGCACCAAGCTTTAGTTGGAAAGACTTTTTAAATCAATAACAAAACCTGTACTTTTCAATAAGGAAAAACCATAGCTGAGAAGATAGAAATTATATTTGGTGAAAAATATATAAACAGGGGAAAATTGTAACTAATTCATTTAAATATACTAAAATATAGCAGTTTACAAATCTATTTCATTTATGACAAAACCTTCAACCTTGCGTTCTGTCATTATTGTACAGTACAAAGGATATAGGAGGTGAATGAAATGTTGTATCACCACAAACACCCTGGGAAGAAACCATCCATAAATTTGAATACATTTCCTTGGTAAACGACTTCAAATAGTTCGTCACGTTACCAAGAAAATGGCGTTGCCCGTGTCGTGTTGAGAAACTGAACATTTTTCTTGCTTCTCGTATGCCTCTCGTACACTTTGGTGGGGAATCTGCAGCACAGTGCCAGTGGCGCAGTTAGATCAGGGGCAAACTTCGACCATAATACTCATGTAATGTCTGTGGTGGAGCGGTAGTAGGGACTTTTAGATTGAGTGGACGAGAACACGACGAACGCCGACTGATCATCCGTGTCAACGTACTTAACCGCCCATGTTGACTACAATTAGAAATCTTTAGATTGCACTCGACGATATACATGCATGCAGGAAGTAACACTATGAATATGACGGACAAAGAAAGAGGACAAAATATACAGTTCCTCATTCTACCCTCAACAAAAGAACATCCCTTCACTGCTATTATGTAAAAATGTGTAGAACAAGTGAATATGCACGTGACACCTGTTCTACACATTTTTACATAATAGCAGGGAAAGGAAGTTCCTTTGTCTACTTCAGGAACTGTATATTTTATGCGCACGCGGCATACTAATACCTTGAGCATGTAAAGGCGCTATATAAATACCA